ATCTGTACATATTTGGCAGGATCTATTTTCCACTATAGTTCCATAATATCTACCGGTCTCAATGTGTAACTTCTAATTAGAGCACCGAAGTTTAGTTAAAGCTTGTCTGTGCAGGGGAACACAAACGATATTCAAATAATTCTCATAAAAAATTTCTATATGTTCAATTTGTTATTGCCTTGATACATTTTATTGGCGGCCATATTGGTGCCTCGTCAAAAGTTCTCTATACAATTGCAAAGAGTTTGTATGTTGAATTTAGTGGTGTTGTTTCACTTGAAATAGATGAGTTCCAAGTTATAGCACCGTCAGTCTGTTTCCGTGCAAGAACACGGAAGTGGATTTCTAGCTCATGCAAACCTTTATGCAGCCCCCCCCCTATTAATCATTAATCCTTTTATTTCAGGCCAAAAAAGTCTCATATTAAATACATTACAAACACCAACACTAATACAACGTCTAAAATTAGTTTAAATTTGACACAAGTACGAATTAAAGCATCATCTATGGTGACGTTTATACACCAGAGCCCAAGTTCTATGGTAACGACAGAACTCAAAACTTGTTTTAATACTGTCTGTTTGTTAGCTAATCCATGTAGTAATTTTTTCTCCCACTCACCCAACACTGCAAGGATACAAGTATAAAATATGGGTCTTTTTAGACAATATTCAAGAAATTTACTGAAATTAATTTAACTATGCTCAGACTGCAAATTCCTAAATCTGTTAAATTCACTTTACACCAGACTTGTTCTAGCTTCCATTGATCTCTTTGAGATTTTTCTCATCTTTGTAGACTCAATACACATAGGTACCTCAGGTAAACATCTCTCAGATTTGTTATTTCGCGATGATATCTTCAGTTCTCCAATTTTGATGAATATTTGTCATTTTTGGTAAAAAGTATTATTTTTCACTTTTTGTTAAAAACTGCAAGTCTGATTGCTTTGATATTATACATATGGGCACCTCAGCCAAGAGGCTGCTTGTCTAATAACAATATTCGCTAAAATTTCGTTGTTTTTTTTTTAAATTTTTATTGAAGCAAACCATGAACAAGTGTAAGCTGACCACTAGACATGTAGTTTTAAATTCTACGAGGCTGACTGGAAAGTTACTTATGGGTGTACAGACGAACAGTTATTTCAAACACTGCATGTACATTTACTGTACTGCATCGCAATTTTCGAACCATTGAATCCTTCACATCGTAGTCTCAATACCCCCATAAAAAGCTTTAGCTAGTACCGTAAAATCTGTATTAGAAGCCGCATCCTTAATAGAAGTCGCACCTATTCTTATTGAAAAATTAAAAACAGAAATTCATGATTTCTCATATGTGTAGATGCTCTAATAGAAGCCGCATCCCCGTTGTTGTATTGTACCATTTCAATAGAAGCCGCGGTTTCTAATACAGATTTTACAGTACTTCACATCATCTGAGAGTTGATACTTTTGTAATTACAGGCCCACCAGGACAAGGTCCGTTACCCCCTGTACCTGAAGACAGATATGAAGAAGAAAGTATGCAGGAACCGATGAGTGATGAGGAAGAATATGCTGCTGTATTGAGGAGAAAACAAGCTGAGATGACGAGGGTACGTACTGTTATGTAAAAAAAAAAGCAGAAATTACACACACTGAACTGCACAAAGACACAAATGAGTGAAACACTTGGGTTACAAAAACATATACTTAGTCTTTAACTTATCAAAATCACACTAATATCTAGCACTGAAATTAACGATGAATAAACAATACAGGAGTGAATTTCTGGTTTGTGTTATGCAACAACAGGGTCCATAGCGTTGACAAAATCCTTTGAAAGTCTTTGGATTTCTTGAGGTCTGGAATGTTTTTGAGTTGTCTTTAAATTACAGGAAAAATAAATAAATCTTTGAAAAGTTTTTAAATTTCTTCATAGTTATTAATTCATTTTAAAAAGGCCCGTTTTGCTCCAGGGAACTACCATATCCTAAGAACTTTGATGAGATTTCATGATGATGTTGGTGTGAATTAAGGGTCAAAATGTCTTGGGAAAAATGCAAGAAAGTTTGGGAACAGGTCTGGAAAAGTCTTGGAAATCATTTGGCTCTTAGTGCTATGGACACTGAACAATTTTGAACATAGCTTGGCTATTTCCACCAATCAGATCACAGGATTCCCATGCTATAATCAACACATAGGTTTAAGAGATTTTGTAAAAAGAACGTCGTCATTGGGCCCAAAAAACTTCAGAACAATGGGACTACTGGATCTTTATTTATTGTTCAAACTGACATCAATGCCTACATTGTTGCTAAAATACAATTAGTCGTGAGACTAAAAATGAAATAAATGATTGACAAAAGTTGCCTAGTACATGTATATCCACAACTGATTGTAGTAACATGTATGATAAAAGCAACTTTAGAACGACAAGCACCCTATATGGAGTTATTAGATCATGTCATTCCATAAGCTATATCTATATTACTGATCAAATGCTGTGAAATCCCCTTACTTAGATAAACCTCATATTACATGCCAGTATTATATCAGCGCGTCTTACTTTGCTAAAGTATCTGCTTACTACCTTTATAGAAATGTGAATCAAAGATAAGGAATGCTTAATGTGATAATTCTAATGTAGTAGCAGGCACATTTCAAAATGAAACTCATAGCTAGAAAATTACTCTAATAATCCCCCACCTTTCCCACTCCTGTGCTTCACACACCAAGCAGTTGGATCGGAAAGGCATATAAGATTATTATGGCACTACAAAGTAGGCACAATAACTGTGCAGTTGCATCAACTTCTGCTGTACCTAAATGTACTTCGTACACACTTTTCCTTCAAGTAAGGAATTGAAAATTATCATTCCATTTATAGATACTCATTTTTCAAATGTTTTTATTTTACAGCCCAGAGCTGCCACACCAAGCAGCCTACCGAGCAGTAGTATATATTCTTCACTCCCAAGGGATGTACTGGGTGATAGAAACGTAGACCCTCAGTTTGTGTGAACACACTGATTATATTCATGTATCAGACCGCTCAGTTTGTGTGAACACGGTGCTTGTATTCCTGTACCAGATCGCCCAGTATACCAGGGTAATTAAAATACCCAAAACGATGGCACGGTTACCAGTACCATGTATCCTACACTCAACTAATAGCTAAAATATGATAAATGCTTAAAAGT